GAATGTTCACTTTGCAGTTAAACATGCAGACTAATTAGATTTCAAGTTGAGAGAGTACCAATCGTCAACAGATGTGTACTTCACTATTATGAAGAAATTCAGGGTTCCATTAATTCCAGACATTCTGAATTTATAATTTAATTGGCCTTACCATTGTAGATTAAACAGTTCATGGTAGCTCTACAAGTAAAAAAAAATTGATGACACTGTATCACTTATAATAATAAGAAGAAGAAGAATTCACTTATAGGAAATCTCGGTAACATATCTTAGTATCTTATCACCCTGGACTAACTAGGGTTCTCAGTAGAAATAAAACAGGTGGGTCTAGTATTCACTAATTCATTCACCGTCCACAGATTTTGAACGAGATCTACATTTTTTACCGATATGAATTTTCGAATGAACTTCTCTGACTGTGACAATAATCAGTGACTAGATGAAGGGCTTTAGAGTTTATCGACAGTTAGTCCCGGCAAATACACACTTTGTAGTGCACTTTGTGTTAACAAATATGATGAGCAGGTACTGCTCTATAGTCAGATGCCTGAAATAATTTCTTATATTTTTATACGTTTCCGCCACTTTATATTGGTCGCAAGATTATTCTAAAACATAAAAAGTAGAGAAACATATAAGGAGGTAAAGATGCTTCTGTATTTGTGTTATTAGACGTTTACCGACGGTGTTCTCTCTTCATCTGAATACAGTACCAAGGTGCACTTGAAGATGGACATTACGAATAGTGTGAATAACAATCAGCAACGTTGTATATTGTCAGCTTTGTAATAATTTTAAATCTTAGCAACATTAGGAAGAAATGAGTGTTAAAAACTAAAATGTTCTTGAGTATTATTAAAACTGATTGTTCATAACTTCGGGAGCCTTCGTTTGTTTTAATCTCACGCTAGGAAAATTTTGTGAATAGAAAAAAAGAATTATATATATATATATATGTATGTGTATATATAGGTTTTCAGAATCACTACTTGAAAACAGATATGTTCTCTGACAACTACATTTTAGTAGTCATATGTCTGTGTATATTGAACCAGTTAATAAAATCTTGAAACTTTCATTAAAATATCATGCACCTGAATCAATGTGGATATATCAAGGAAGAACCGACAGCAAGAAAAGTGAAGTGAATTAGTTGAAATAATGACACGTGACCAAAATATCTACAACACATTAGTGTGTGTTTAGCTTGCAGATCGACGCACCATTAAAAGGAAAAATTTGATTACACAAATTCATTTTTAAAGAGACAGTCTACTGAAACTCTTTTTAACAAACTTGTCATCCTGAGAAGAAATTCATATGCTTCGAAAATAAAATGTTATCTTGACAAATTTTAGACTACCGACTTCTGCTTTACTTACTGCGTTGTAAGGCACTGATGCTAAACAAGTTTTTATTCTTATTCACTTTCACACACAATTAATATCTGCAGTCGATCCATAATCAATGTGGAGACACATATAGGAGGTATTATTAGTGAATATAGATGTGACTCTCAATCAGGATTCAGCACAAACCATATCAAATGATAAAATCACTAATGAGTAATACTGATACTTAATCACTCAGTACTCCATGGAATTTGTTCTTCCCATCACCCATACCAACAGGAAACAGAATCTCTCTGTGGAACTGAAGTAACTCTATGACACGAGATTCGTAATATTCATCGTCTGGCTATTTACAGCTGTGAGTAATAATAACAATAATAACAATCCAACTTTATCACCATCATGTAGATGGGAGTAAACTGTCACTTGGAAAATATATTTCAAGCCTAATATTGTCAAAGGAAACTAAATGATGATAAGTAAATTATTAAAACGAAGCGATGAAGAGAGTGGTCGATGGAAGTGTTAGCGAATGCATTATCATGTGTGCATTATTATTATCATTATTATTATTATTCCCTTGGGTTCCAAATGGAACATAGGGCTTCAGCTACACATCTCCACTTTCTTCTGTTTTCTGCTGTGCTCTTAAGCTGGGTACACGATTTCCCATAATCTCTCATCTCCTCCTCCTCCTCCTCCCAACATGATCTCCTCCATGTCACTGTTGCACCGACGATCCACTCGTTGCTTCCCACTGAGATTCCACTCGAGTGGTGACTAGGCGTGCGATTTCATTCGCCAGTCTCCTCAATGTACGTGCGATCCACATGCACTTTCTCCTGCATATTTGTTGACCGACCGATAGGCTCTTGGTTGGTTCGTTCCCATGATTTCTTGTTGCTTATTCTTTCTGGATCATGTGTGTATGTGTATGTGTACGTGTATGTGTATGTGTGAAGGTGTTTCGATCATTGGATTGTCGTGGAGTGAGGAGTACTGACTCGCCAATTACCACTGATTTTCAGTCGTCATCCATCTGATATCAGTCAGTCGGTGACGAAACTCACAGTGAGATTTGTTGTTTAATCTCTACAAATCGGACATCTGAAGATTGAGTAGGTTTGTCCACTTTGACAAAGAGCAAGTGATTCATGAATTCAACAGACTCTCGGACGAGGGGAGCGGTGTAATAGTGGAGCGTTGCGAAATCTCTCTTCAGCATGCATTTGAAGATTTTCGTCACTTCTTGTTGACTGTTAGTAATAGACATCGTACTGGCATATTCCATATTTCGTGTAATTACACTTTTGACTAGAATCATGTGAAGACAATGACCAGATGGAGTAATGATAGTGTGAAGGTAAGCACTGAAGTGGTCAGTGTATGTAAATGCGAAACGGAGAGCCAAGAAACGTGAGATTTGACAAGATAGTGTTAATGAAATGTATTAAATAGTGAGTGTTGCTTCCATTTTTTCAATGTGTTCATGTGTTCTATTGTTGTGGGATAAAATAGGCAGTGTGTACTGAGGAATGGGGTATAAATTAGTAGAATATACTTCAGCACCGATTTACTATTATTATTATTATTTATTTTTTAATCCGCTCTAACCCCCATCGTTTTGTGCTTTTGACGGGAAAGCGAGACACAACAACAACAGAAATGGGAAAAAGAAATAATTGGGGGTGGGGGATCAATTATTTATACCAAATAACTTTTGATTGTTATGCTGTCATCATTTCAATTGAGTGATTTCATACTGGATAATGAATTTTGGCAATATTTTATGTGATTGGAAACGCAGCTGAATGGAAATTATTACTAGAAATATGATATAATCCATTCTATACAAATAATTTATATCATTAAGATTATTCTTTCACTGTTTCATGTTACTCTATGATATTTGACCGCCGTCAAGCTTATTTGAATCCAATCCTATCAGAACCATTTGTTATCCTTTTCATTTTAGCTTTCAGAGCAAATTAAATCCCTTTCAATGTAACTTTATTAGAAGTAGCCAGTGGTGGTTTTAGTCTATGTTGGTCACATCCAGCTAGTGATCTTTTTCCTGACGAATTTCTGCCATATGATGTGCATGAGGCATGAATTTACCTCGCGCTTTGTAGTTTAAAGTTCTTCTCTTGCTTACTGGGATATAGTTCCAACGCCTTAATAATAGATAATCTCCTAAGTTGGTGGCAATACGATGACATTACTGAGGGGCCCTTCTTCAGCCCTCATGGTGATAATTCCTCACTGCAAACCAAGGTGTTATAAAAATGTATTATCTTAAGAGCTATTGAATATTTATTTCTTCCAGGTGTGAAACATATTTTGTCAGTGAATTCACTGCTCACCTCAATACCAAGTATCACAAACTGTAAGTTGACAATTAGTTATGGAGTCAGTATTCATCTGTTTCATCACCACTTTTCACCTGATGTAGTGAAACCACATAACAACGCTGTCGATGGAGGTCTGTCACTATTAATCACTACTTCCAATAAGAAACTCAGGTAGTTAGTATCAAAGCATGTCACTGAAAAAACACTTAGCTGTTATTTAGTTGGTAGACCTGGGGTATCTGACTGAATTAAAATAGGTTACGAAGTGACTATGGTTTACTTTTTTTCAGGAATTCTCTGGATTATATAGACTCTTCTGTGAAGTTGATCAATTCCTCCATGAAATCTTCAACTAAATAAAACACTTTAGTTTAATATGAGCTTCAGTCTCTCTGTTCATATGTGTTTCACAATAGAGAAATATTATATACCTCTAATTAGTGTTTCACCAAGTACATTTAAAGCCTATGTGTGAAGCATTACTGTAGTGTTCCGACTGTCATGTAACGAAGTAAAAACTGTCCTGTGAAGGGTCTCCTTTCTCCATTCTCTTCAATTATTGACGGTATTGTGGTTTTGGCTGATGTTGTGAATAGATATTAGAACAGTTTCTGTCTAAGCATCAGGGCCTTATAATTCACGGTAGCATTACCAGTCATATCAGAGATACCTTAAGCCTAGTTGCATAACTCGGGTTGAATGGTAAGGATACAATATTAAATGTTACCATATTTCTAGACTATGGAATTAGCAGTAGAGAAACATAAAAATGGCTACTCAACGAGGTATTTTACGTAAAAAAATAAAATCATCGAAACCCCACAAAACAAGTGATGTCAGGAAAAGTAATCCTTCAGGTTTCTATATGATTTGCTATCTACACATAATAATTTACTTTTGATCTTGCAGAAATTGGTAAAAATTATCTGTAGATATAGACAGTAGGATAGAGAAGAATAAATCTTCCTACACATAAATTAGGTGTTCTCATTTTTGCTTTCTCCTCTCCCCACTGCTGATTAGTAAATTCATCCCATCGCTCCAATATTATGTCTGTCTTTTTTTCTAAAAGGGAAAGAACTTATCTGTCTATGTGTGTACATATATGTATATACATATGCATATATACATTTGAAAACACTTGCTGATATAAACATTGGGCGAAATATAAATTAGAATGGTTAATTAAGTGCTCCCCTCACGAATAAGATTCTTTCCTCTCTACGTTGTTTTTCTGTTTTTATTTTCTTGTATTTTTCTTCTCCTTCCACATTCACTCTACCGATCAGAATATTTCACTTCTAACCGCCTGTCCACATATTCTGCCTATCTACCCTCTTAATTTTATTCAGATCTCAAGGTAAAAATATATATAAATAAAAACAACTATACATTTATACAACGAATCACACACATTGTATAACTTTTCCCCCACCATAATAATAACACAAAAACTTTATTTCTAAACTAGGTAATTTCTTTCAACAACGTATGCACTGATTGCTGTAGACAGATTGTCAATAATATTGTCTGCTTATCGTTTTATTACTTCTTCATCACAGTTAGCATTATTATATTCAGTCCTAATGTTGCTAATATCATTATCGGCATCTGTATCGTACTGGTGGTTATATTGATAACGTGATATTACATCAAATATATACGACACGGAAAAATTCCCTCGGTCCTCTACTGACATAATATTGGTTAACAATAATATGCACTATATTAACGTAATTATTTGCACATAGTCATTTCTACTTACTATATTCTACGTGATCATCGTATCTGGATCAAAAATTAGTACTTAATTCTGCAAATAAATAACATTAACTTGCAACAACAACAAAAAGTAGTAAAACAAAAATTTTTTTATCTAAAATCAATACCAACAACTAAAAGTCTCCTCTGGAAATTAATCGTACAACTGGTGTTACATGCTTTTGATTCGTATCGAAAAGGGTAGGTATAGTCTCCATTTCATTATTATTTTCCTAATTAATTCATATTACATAAAGACTGGACTAGTCACTGCAGTAATGTAGACTATTAAAGACAGTAAATGTAGTAGATAGTTCACTTTGTTGATTTTTTGCATCTACTTTTATGTGATATTTATACAACATACTTTTACAAAATCTCGTCATTTTGTGATGTTTTCTTGTTCACTAAATTATCTACACTGTTTTCTGATTCATTCAGAAATACTTTCAGTAATGACTATATGACTCTAAGGTATAATTTGTTTTATATAAAATGATGCTTTGACTAAATAATAGTATCATTCACACCAAATGCTGTGTACTGGTCTACGAATCAGACACTAGGAGTAAATTAACATAACTGACAAACGTTCAGTACAGTTCATAACCTTTCGGGTAATCATGCGTTTAGGATAATTTCAAAACGCCTAGTCATCATATATTTGCTTTCGACTTCTAGGATAATCTACTTGTAGTTCATCTTATAACTGCTGACACACATAAAAAGTATTTGTCCTCTATCTAGGGGGATCCAGTTGCCTCTTGAGAGCTGAATCTCTGTCATTCAGTCGTGAAATTATTTACTTCTTTGGAAACTATTCAGATCATTCAGATCATAAGTCTGCTAGTAAATTATGGTGTTCACTGTTTATCTATAAAAATGGAGGAGTTAAAATGGTAGTTTTATTTTTTATTGTGAAATAATGTTTAATTAATTTTAACTATTGTGCTTTCTTTGAGGTTTTCAAATTGGTGTGGCTTACACAATACTTGTTCTTAGCCCCACTGTTTCATTTTCGTTATTTGTAAAAGAATTTCTTCTTGGTTCTCATGATTAAAGTGAGCAAACATCTGGATATATGCTTATTACAACAGCGTGCAGGACACTTCAAGTCTTCCTGTACTTCGCTAAGTATTTCACAAAACACACAAACATCAAAGTGTTATAATCAAGATTTATTTTGATTATACTTAGCTGAAACATATACATACTTTTTTAAATAGATAAGCGTGAAAATATCCATTTCTGATGAGCGAGACCCACTGGATAATTAAGATGTTAAATAAACTACAAGTTGGGGTTAAAGCACACATAACCCTACCACATTTCAAAGTTTGTATTTTCTGAAGATGTATTAATACTATGAATGTGTGAATGGTTTTTGAAGTTATCTAAAGCAAATTTTCTTTATCAGAAATTTACCGAATCTTGAATATCGAGTTCTTACTAGTTGACAATGGCTTTGTACCTAAGAATTGCAGAGAATATTGATGAAACTTTTATGAGAAACTTTTTTGTTAATTAACTTTACCTGTTAAAAAGATGATTCAATTGGTATTCTCTCATTATCAGTTTTTCCTTGCTTTATACGGAAACCACCTGAGCTCTACCAACGCTTTTCAAAGAGTTTTATAATGAGTGTTGAGCTTTACGGATTCTGAAGATTAGTCTTCATGATAAAAATCAGTTAGATAATTACACCACATATTAAGTGGTTTCATTTGCATTCCCAATAGGTGTTGGATGAGATCACAAGTCAGTCCACTGAACTCCTGATCAGTGTTTTATGAATCAGATCACAAAGATTGTTGATACAAGTCAGTAAATTATTGAAGCATTTCTTCCACGATTTCACATGTATAAAAAAGATATAAATAATCTGATCTAGATAGAAAACGATATGAAATTAGAAAATGAGACGCTGCACATTTCTGTTGAGTTCTCTGCTATAACTCTGAACTGCATCAACGATCGCCCACATATTTTCATTTCTCCTTCATCGCCGAACTCACACCCAACTTCTCTCCTTCCATTTGGGTCCCAATCCAGGGCCAGCCAGGCTTGTGATGTATATGCATTCTCTCGCCCTTTCCTTCTGCATATTTGTTAAGCACATTTTATAGACATGATATTCTCTGGGATTTCAAGTTTAATCTTTCATGAAAAAAATGAATGAGGGTGGATCGGTTGAACACTCAACATAAGGTAAAAACTGGTGTAGCTCAGTGACTAGAAAAAGCTAAAAAGCTGACCAACTATTCAAGATGGTACTAGTATCACTTTCATAAGAACATTTGGCTTATCTTAGAGTACTGATCAATATGACTGTAAAGGAGATGAACGTGAGAAGTAAACCTGAGAAAACCAGCTGTTTTTTGGCTGGCTTCTGTGGATCTAAAAGGTCTGGAAGATGTCTTATTCTCTTAAAATACGAAATAATGACAATATTTCAAGAATCCATGGTCTGAGTTTTTAGACTCTCTGAAATAAGTTCTTTATGTAATTGTTATTTTGGTTGTATAAAAAGTTTTAGAAACGTGAAATAACAAAACAGATTTGTATGATATGACTGCAACCAATATTTTGTGCTGTAAATGCCAACAAGTTATAAATAGTGTATCCCTTGTCTTATATGGAACAGAAAACCTTGTAATACTACTAAACGAACTCATATGGCTTGAAGACATATTGTATCACTGATCTTCGATACCAGTGACATTACATGAAAAAGTGTAGTTACAGCAGAATGAGAATCAAGAAATACTGAAGGCCTCTAGTATAAAACCTAAGTTCCAACCACCGTCACAGTTCCTAAAATGATAGTGTCATTTGTGGAAATCTGGAAATTCAAAGATTTGGTCACAGATAACTGACTGATTATTGCAACTGTAAGTCATCAGAGTTCTAGTAATGATTCTTGAGACGAAAAGAGCGGATCTCTGTAGGTCTTTTTTCCTCACATTCTTTTGATTTAATTTCACTTCTGATGAATACCCTCGAAGTACTTGAAGAACATTCAGCAGGAACTTCAGCAGAAAAACAATCAGCAGAAACTCCATCAGTTAATATTACTGTGTAACACTGTGTGTGACTTATCTACATGCAGCAGAAACACAGTTTTAATGAAAAATCGATCACACTTGATTTATAAACAGTATCAGTCTTTTCTTAATAAGACATCCATATCTGATTGGACTGCCAGCATCACTTTCGGACAACAGCACACAGAAACAAGTGATAGCTATTCAACTTCCACAATGTTAAGTTAATTTATCGTAGACTGTTGGATGCTGAAGCGTAACAACTAGTTACCGAAAACAACTCATTGTCCAGTCTTCTAATTTATAGGTTAAACAGAAACTTCTCCTGAACCTAACTACTTACATTATATTCATGAATGATGTGAATTATTTTGTTAGGAACAATCTGTGAATTTTGCAGTCACGTGTTGTGACCATAGATTATAATCCCCCAGTTTCTTCTTGGAATAATTACATCACTTTACTATCGTATTATTTCATGAAAATTCTATTGTAAATTGATAGATTTGGTGTAAATTTCGTACTCTTCATAAAAGTAGTGGGTTCTAAAATCATTTTCGGACGGAATATTCTAGACGGATCTAGATGGTGTTTATCCGTTAATTAGATAAAAATTTGATGCGAGTTATTTTGTAAATGATAACGCACTGCCTGTTAATATGTGAATTCAGAAATGTTATAGGTGATTGAGTCCCATGAATTAGTATTACAAAAGACTAATAGTACATACTGTTGAGTTCTATCAGTATGGAAGTTATAACTTGCATTTTAGATATATAAATGTGAAAACACAGAATATTTTCACAAAATTAAAGGACAACTAATGAAAGCAAAAAATAATGTTTTTAAGTGTGCACATTACTCAGATGATATTCTCATACTAGTTTATGTTACATTATATCATGAACTGTTATTGAAACCTTGATATTCTAATGAAAAATTGATGTTCATTACAATTCAGCCAAAATTGGTATGGTGATAAGAAGGAATCCTTTCATTGTATTGTCACGTATTTCAACCACATGTAAAAAAAAATCAAAATTTGTTAGTTAAATTAAGAATTATTATCAGAGAAATGTAAGTTGAGAGAGAATTAGCCCCAAACATCTTGAAATAATAACAAACAGAAAATAAAATCTTGTTTAATTTTTATCTTAAATGCTACGAAAATTAAGAACTTTCTGGCCTATCTAAAATAGACATTCATCTTACCAATGCTAGAATAAATCCTATCGTTTGATCGTTCATTACATTCACCCTGATGATTTCGAAATTTTTGACGAATATATTAACCTTTAAACTGTTGCAGATTATATCGGGGGCTTTTGTTTAATTGCCAGTAAAGTATTTTGGTAACTAAAGCGTTATGAGTGAAAACACTATTGTGAACGGTATAGGTGATTTGACAGGTCACAGCTTACAATGTATTGATTCAGGAAAAACAGTAAATCATATTCAGAAACCACTTATGAATCTCACTTTGGTCTGATTTAGTTGTCGAATTGTTCAAACTAGGATATGAATTTGAAGGAAAATAGTGACACCATCAGCAAACAGTGTAAAATGTCAGGAAACAAGATGCCAACAGATGCTTTAGAGAAGGAAGCATGTTAAGATCTTTCGCTCCATGAGACCACAATTTGCGTTTTCAGAAAACCAGGTCACTACACTTTGGAAATGCCAACAGCTTTCACATGTAATAAAGTGGTACTCAGAACCATTATTATTATTATTGCTAAATAACTTAGAATCATAAGCATCATTATATATACATATATATGTACATATATTCGCAGCATTTACACTAAACGTTAGTGATTATTAGTGTTTTGCTTGAATACATAACGATCCTACATTCTAAGAAAAATTTATGAAAATTCTAACGAATATGATTATGCACACGAACTCATAGCTTAGTTCATACTGTAATAAAGAGCTTATAATTATGATATTCCTGTTCAATGGCTGCCTCTTTAGCTTACTATCTCCTGTTTTAGGTTTTATTTTATTGTTCTCATTATCCCTGCTTTACAAACCAGAATATAAATTATGACGACACATGTATTCCCACATTACTGGCATTTATCTATAGGCTGAGAGAAATTAAAACAGTCACCCGATAGGTTGTGAAAATAAACAATACAGTTGACAACTAGT